GGGGTTGGAGCTGGAGGAGCTTTAAGGTCCTTTCCAACCCAAACCACTCTGGGATTCTACGGCTCTATGAAACCCTTCATATGCAGCAAATCCTGCAATGTGGAATGGCAACAAGTCATGCAAAACACAACTGTGATGAGTCCTTCAACACACAACACATCCTGCAACAGGCAATTGCTCCAAGTCCTTCAATGTGCAACAAATCCCACAGAATATGATTACAACAAATCCTGCAAAAGGCAAATGCAACAAATCCCAGCAAAGGGGATTACAGCAAATCCTGCCAGAGGCAACAAATCCCGCAGGAGCAGCAAATCCCATAATATTCATTGCACCAAACCCTGCAACATATATGGGATCTTGCAATATTCAACTACATCAAATGATGCAAAATGCACCAACAACTTCCAACGCAATTCCAACAAATCCTGCAGTTTTCCATCGCAGCAAAACCCTGGAGCTGTTTGGGGGTTGGGTTTTATGGCATTGGGCTTCCCAAATAGTCGCATTTCCATGCCCTGACCAGTTGCATCCCCTTAAGAGCAAAGCAAAGTTGCATGTCTGGGCAGGCTGCAGCTCACATGGCTCCTCCCCAGTGGAAGAGGCCACGGGCGACAGGCCAAGGAGCACAAATCCTGACCCGTGAGGAGGGAAGCATGGAAAAACCCACCCTGGGGCAGCGGGAGAGGATGGGAGGCTGTCGGCAGCGGTGGTGTGGTGGGTTTGGATGTGTTAGAGGAAAATCAAACCTCAAATTGGAGTTCAAGGAAGCTCGGGCAGGGCTTTAAGGAAACAAAAAGCAAAGCCTGTTGCTGAAAAGCGCTTGAACTTGGGCTGGGGCCAGTGAGGCAGCTGAAACACGCAGTGCCGGGAGGTTACACCCCAGCCAGCAGCTCCGCGGTGGTTTCACCCCATGTTCCCCCAAAACAGGGAAATAATTCCCTATTGCAGGAGACCCTGGGCCTGGGATGTGAAACTCAGCTTGAGGCATCACTTAAAGCTCCAGGGGGGGCTTTTTGCACCCCAAAATCAGTAAAATCAGGGTCACTGCTAAGTGGATGCATCGTGATTCCGAGCATCCCTGTCTTCCCAGAGCTTGGCATCCCCAGGGAAAAACACCCCAGGCAGCAGCATCACCCCCTCCCTGCCCTGAGCTGATTTATCAGCTTGATTAATGGGATAAAGGCAAAAATAAACCAGGTTTTAATGTGTTCCCCCCTCCCAACTTACCCGCAGACATCAAGGGAGAGCTCGGTGCCCAGCACGCAGACGGTGCTGGTGGGACGCTGGGTGGAAAGCTGGACGCGGCGCTGCTGCGCCATGCTGGCGAGCCCCCGGGGCACCCTTGGGTGCTGTAACGGGTGGCACGAGGGGATTTATAAAGCCTGGTCGCTGGGAGGAGATCAGCCAAAGCCTGGCTAAATCCCACCTCCAGGCTCTCAGCCTCCGGGCTGGATGTGAGCGATGCCCGGCCACGCTTCCCGGTGATGGAGCATGAATCAGTGTGGGGGGAAACGCACCCCAAGACACCCACGAGGGGGGGGTTGCTTTTGTAAGAACCTCGAAGGGGGGGTGTTTTTTCCCCCTCAGCACAAAGAGCCGCTGATGTGACCAACCACCCATAAACCCACGCTGTAAAATATTCAGTGTGACACAGGAGCCGAGCTGGGGCCGTGCCAGCGCCGGGCTCGGTGGGGTTTTATTTCCCTTCCTGAAGGGTTCTATTTGTCTAGCTGGGAAAAGTGCCTTTAATTCTTGGTTCAGGGAGGGTTGAAGGTGCAAGCTGGGTGCTTGCCCCATCCCCTGGGTGCTGCATGGGCCAGGGGGTGGGTATGTCACCTGCAGTGGGGACAGCGGCGGCTTTAGTCACCTTTGTTTTCATTGAAGCCTTGTCCTGGCGTGGGACGCCCTTCGCCGCTGCAGCTGTCCCCCACCAACTCCCTGCAGGGTCATGCGCTGCTGGAATTCCAGAGCACTCCTCTGGGGCAGGGAAAACTCAGCAGAGCCATAACTGCAGGGAAAAGGGGGTTAGAAATCATCTTTTGGGGCAAAAAGAGGGGTGGAAAGCGGGATGTGTGACCTTTTTTAGGAGCATCTTCCCCTCCGTCTCCAGCATCACTTGTGGCGTCACAGCAGTTGGTGCAGCTGAGCTTTTACACCACAAGAAGTACTGCTTGGAAAGAAATAGCCCCCCCAAAAAAGTGGTTTTAGCCCCATAATAGCCCCCTGGCGTTGCACAGGGCTAAGTGATGCCCCGCGCAGGGGCTGGTTTCAGTTCCTGGTGCTGGTTCCTGCTGGGTGAGGGCAGAGAGGCCACGCTGGCACAGGGAAATGCTACGCTTGGGTTGCGATGAAAAGGAGAGAAAGAGCAGTCGGGGTGGCTGCAAAGGGAGAAGGTGCAAAAGGATTAGCACAAGGAGGAGTCTGCATCCTTGTCATGCTGGAGAGCTGGTCTCCTCTGCAGGAGGTGTTTTTTTGGTGGATATAGGGAATTTGGGAGGGATTCGCTACTAAACTGGGACTATGAGACCTTTTAACATCAAGATGTGGTCTCAAAACCCCAAAACATCCTCCTTGCCTGCTGACTCACATGCACCATTCTCCCAAAGTGTGAGGGGATGAAGGCACGGACCCAGAGCATCTTCATGCAGTGAATCGCTTTATTGCCTGCTGCTCTAACTTTTTATACCATTCTATTTGTAGCCTATCATGTTTAGTTCCTGACTTATAGTTTGGTTTTTAACACTGCTCGCTTTCTCACAACCAGTCCCAGAATTGCCAGTCTCTTGTCGTTATGCTCTCTCCTCTTCAGCCAGCTGGGTTGCTGTGCTTGATTGTACTTTGTTTCTTCTTTAATTCTTTTTTCTCCAGCCAAGCAGTTACTTCCCTTTGGCAATAATCAAATAGTTTCCATTGTCTCCCACATTTCCCCATTCTTTATTTATCTGTGAATGGGCAAGGTTTGCATATAACTGTGTGACCATAACCTGATTCATACTTTGTTGGAATGATCATCGTTGAACACAAAGAAAAAGATAAGAAAGACAAAAGGTAATCATTAATACAGCAATTAGAGCTATTAAAACAAACCTTGTGATATTTGTGACCTTGATCCAAAATTCCCAAGCCATGAAAACAGACCAAAAGCATCTCACCCCTGATTTAGCTGCAAGTCTTTGTTTAGATCTTTAATTTTTGGATACTCTTACGAATCAATTCTGAGTGGTGGCTTAGATCTCATCCCATCAAAACACATCCCATCAAAATTGACCCAAAATCCCAAAGCCATGAAAACAGACCAAAAGCATCTCACCCCTGATTTAGCTGCAAGTCTTTGTTTAGATCTTTAATTTTTGGATACTCTTACGAATCAATTCTGAGTGGTGGCTTAGATCTCATCCCATCAAAACACATCCCATCAAAATCCTTGCACCCATGTTTCAATAAGACATGCAATCACGCTCTTGCTCAGCCTCTCCCATGT